GAACTTCTGGATACATTTTGCGAGTTCATGAAAGCTGTAAATCTGAGGATTTCTGTGACCTGAATCCTGCGCTCAGAAAACGTGGAAACAAATGCATCTCCTCGGTAAAAAGGTAGGGCAGGTTCCCTACAGCTTTAGGAAAGAGAGGCTTTCAGAATACCTGGTGATCTGAATGTGGGAATATGTTTTTACTGTGAATTAATTTAATGTGCCAGCCTGTGGCTGCATCTGTATATAGAGAAAAATAAATTTACTGTTATGAATTCCTATCAGGCTGTTTTATGCAACAATCTCTTTAGAGTCATTATCATATGATATTGAGAATATTTTAGTCATTATTTGTTAAATAAGTCACAATCGCCTCCTTTACATACAGCACAACCTAATGGGTAGGTTCACACATTGCATTAACTTGAAAACAAGCAAGCTATAGTATGCTGCTTAATGGCTTTACTATTATGACAAACCCAATTGCTCCAATTTTATAACACTGAAGAATTCTTCCAGGAACATCATGTCAACTTCCTTTCAAAGCCTGGTCTTACACCTTGAGTTAGGGCATAATACGGTTTAGATGTGGCATGTTATTCGGCACTGTTCATAAATCTTTTGTTAACTGTCAAAAATGATGGAGGAGCCTTGAAGAAGAGCAAACCTTTCAAGTCTGTGGTAACCTTGAAAAAAACATGGAGTTGGAAGATGGTGGCAGAAGGATTATCTGTTAGATGACAGTGCTGTCAAAAAGTAAGAAAAAATCAGGACTATAACTATGAATTGGAAGGAGGGAAAGGGGGAATAACTACTAGACAGGAAAGGTAGTTAAAGTGAATGTGAGGCAGTCACAGGTGTGAAAGGAGTTCTCCCTCCACCCAAATTTCCTTCCCCTTGGAGGAGCAGGTTTTCTTCTAATGAAAAAAAAGAAAAATATGAGGTGAAAGCGAGATTGGATTAGACAGGGAAGGTGTCAGGGCTCCAACAGTTACCCCCATTTAAATCATGAGTCTTAAGCCTAACTTCCAGAACTTAAAGAAGATTTATTAGGAGTAAACATGCCAGCACTGCCTGGGTGTAGCCAACTCTGAGACACATCATTCATTGTCACCCTTGACCCTGGGTGTATCATAATTCATATTCTCCAATGGGACACATCCATAGCCAAGAGTCATCAATCATACTCTCCAGTTAGAATTTTGCTCAGTAGAAACTTCGGTCACCTAGAAACTATCTTTGAAAACATTTATGGGATGCAAGCTTCCCACTGCTCCCCCCTCCCTTTCTGTTGGCAACTCTAAAAAGACCATATAAATATTTTATCAGTTGACAGAAGGGAGGTTAGGAATGGTGGCTGTAAGCAAATGGATGGAGAGGGAAATTTTAAAAAGAGGAGAAAACTGGCAGGAACGAGCTGCCTGATGTCACTGGAGGAGAAGTCGATCTGAAACACTGACAGATTTGTTCCCACAAAGTGTTGGAAGAGTAGTGGAGGTGTCATAGAGAAGGCAACTCCCTCAGAAGTGGTGGCTTCTCCCCGGAAAGTAGTAGCATGTTGGTGGATGGGAAGAGCATTGCTGGTAAGGACTGAAGGTCTGTTCTTGCAGGCTATAGTCTCCAGACGTGGTGATGTACATGGGGTGTTGATGATGCTGAATGATAAAACGCTGGAAAGGGCTGGGTGGGTTTGAGGTAACCCAATTGAGGATGGCAAAGTCAGGGCATACATGTTGAATGGCTTGTAGTCATGGGGGCCACGAGGGGGTAGTTAGAAGAGAAAGTCCGTGGCCTCATCCTTGGGCCCAGGTAAATAGATCCGTGGGCACCTTGAACTTGGGTTGCTGTTGATAAATCTGTACGAGAAGCTGACTCATCCAACTGGAAGAATGTGCAGACTTGTATTGAACATGTGCTGCTAAAATCTGGTGTGTCAATGAGTGGAACATAAGTTGCAAGTCCTTTAACAGTTCAACAAGGCAGGATGCTGGTGGTGTTGTGATCATTTGGGACAATTAAATGATGATTATTCTAGGGTTGGTTGTGGCTTAGAGGTAAGACTGGATTGCAGAAAGAAAGCAAATATGGGTGTCTATCTACACTCCCCCCACGCCCAGCAATGTCCTTTTCTAAATTTCTGGACTGCATTCAGGGCTGGTATTGAAATCTCTGTGGGTTTTAGTGCTGCGATTCTTCCATTTCCATGGATATAAGGATGAAGGGGGGGGTCAGATTTTCATAACCTCCATGGCAATCAAGGGATTGTCCCCAATGATCTCAGCCTCTATTCATATAGAGGGATACATCCTAGACCAGAGGTGTTCAGCAGGTTCTGACCAGTTCTGGAGAACCGGTAGCGGACATTTTGAGTAGTTCAGAGAACCAGCAAATCCCACCTCTGACTGGAGATTCTACAGTATCCTCCCCCTGCCATGCCCACCAAGCCACGCCCACAGAACCGGTAGTAAAAAAATTGGAATCCCACCACTGTCCTAGACCTTTTTTTAAAAAAAAACTTTGGAGCAGATGGTGCATGATTTGAAAAGGGAGGCTGTTATCATCAGTCTATTAATGTGGTCAAATCAAATTGGTTTTAGTTGGAGCCAAATTAACTGCTTTATTTATTCATAGGCCAATTTAATGTTCACCTGGGCATTCCCAAATGTGCTGCAAGTGCTCACATGTATTTTGGCACAATATTTGTTTGCTTTTGCTTTTGAAACATAAATGAGCTCCTTGGCTGTAGTGCTGAACTAAGTAATATTTATACATATTTTAGATGAAGTAAGAAAGACATTCAAAGGAGCACCTGGGGAGACTAGAGAGAAAAAGTCCCAAAACAATGGTTCTCTGCATCATATTCATTTACTTGGAGAATGATTTATTATACAGATTACAGAGCTCATATAGCTCAGGTCTTGAACTCTGAATGTAATTGCTGATTATATATACATATACATATACATATACATATACATACACACATACACATACATATACATATACATGGTGGAACTTCCAGTTTGTCGGCTTCGCGAGCGGTAGGGATTCGCGAAGCTGTGCGATCCCTGCCGCGCTAGCCGTTTTTGGGGCTCCGATCGGGACGGATACGGAGCTAGGCTGCCCTGCAGGGGCAGCTGAAGGTAGGGGGATCCGGAGAGGGGTTTGGGAGTGTTGCAGACCCCCTCCCCGGCCAGCGGAACCCCCTTTTCCCAGGACGGTGCAGCGGCGGTCCGTAATGGCCGCCACAAAGAAGCTGGCAGCCGGGTAAGAATGCGCAGGAGGAAGTGGAGAAAGTGTTTGGAAGGAGAAAGTTTTTCTTGGTTCCTAGGACTCTAAGACATATTTAACAAAATTCCTGAAAAGTATGACTTTCTGAATGATACCTTCTAAAAGAGGAAAAAAGCGGCAGTTTGATGGTGCTGAAAGGAAAGCTTACCCTCTTTTCCTATGGAATAAAAAGTGAATATTAAGAAACCTATTTTTTTTTAGGTGAAAACTGGCTTTAAGCGATGAGTGGGAAGAGAGAGGATTAAAAAAAAATATCTGTATGCTAAGACTTTGTTGGAGGAGATGCTTTAAGGATTGAAAGACTAAAATATATTTCAATAAGATTTTAAGAAACAGATTTGGACTTTCTTTTTTTCTGATTGACACTACCCTA